CAGCTCTTTCCCAGTCCTATTTTGCGAGCCTTTTAGCCTAAACGGACTATTAATACCTAAAGTTGTGTAGTAATGTACCAAACAGTGTTTCTTTGCTACGCCCTCATGGGTATATAAATGTTAAGTAGTAGTTTTTTCCATCATCTTTCTTTCTTCTTTTTTTTTTTTTTTTCTAATTGTGCTTTGGGAGCTCTGGTAGTATAGTGCCTAAAGCACTTGGCCACTAACCAGAAGGCTGGTGGTTCAAACCCACCAGCCACTCCTGGGAAGAAAGATGGGGCAATCTACTTCCGTGTGATACTGCCTCAGAAACCCAAGAAGGGGTTGCTATGAGTCGGTCCAAGTCAACGGCACACAACAACAATAGCAACGATTGTGCTTTAGGTGTAAGCTTACAGAAAGTTTGTTTTACATTCAACATTTTATGCACATTTGGTTCCACTCCCCAATTATCATCTCCAACCCTAACCCAATCTCTTCCCCTCCCTTCCCAGTAACCGTCTCCCCATGCCCCTCAAAGTTTTGTACTCCTGTGTGTCCTGAGTTTTCTCCATGCGAATGTTGCCCCTCCGGTGCCCTGTGGTCGATTGCTGCAAGGGATGCATCTCCATAGGGTATGTGGGTGCATCACCCTGAGTTGAGTGGTCTATGAGTATGTCTTAGTTACTATTGGGCTGAGATATAACCCCTGGAAGTGAGTTTTATTCCAGGCCTGAAATGTATCCCAGGACCATAGTATTGGGGGTTCCATCAGAGTCCATCCGACCAGTAATTCTGGTCATTATTGTGTTTTTGGATTTTGTTCCATGTTTTTCCTTTCCCTCTATCCAGGATCTCCAGTTTTGATCCTTTCCCGAGTGGTTGGCATTGGTAGCCAGGCACCATCTAGTTCTCCTGGTCTCAAGGGCCATTGTGTCCTCATTTCTTGTTTGCAGCAAGCATAGGGTTTTATTAATTTGCAAAGGTTTTATAAACTTATGAGGAGATGTCATAATGTTAACTATTTTAAATCAACAATTCTAGTTTAGGATTTTTCATAGATATATTTCGAATATAGAAAGACTCTAGAAACCATTTGGGAAGTGTAGGTACTGAAAATAAGATATTTGGGTTAAGTCCAAAACTAAACCATGGAGTTGGATCCAACTCAGAGTGACCCTTCCTTGGGTTCCCGAGGAGGTATCAATACAGAAGTAGATTGCCCCATCTTCCTTTCAATTTTTCCCTAAATGTATTAACTCACTTTAAAGTTTAAAAAGTATTAAGTATGAACACTAT